ACCCCACCCCACCCCAAGACCCTGGGAGGCATCGAGCTGATGAAGCTCGACATGGGCGGCGCCGCGGCCGTGCTGGGCGCTGCAAGGGCGCTGGCGGAGCTGCAGCCAGAGGGCATCCAGGTGCGGCAGGGCGGCCCACCACCACTGCAGACCCCCTCACAGCCTCCCCTGCTTTTCAATGGCGGCAGCCCTGCATATCACACATTTGTTTCCCCCGAGCCTCGCCTCGCAAGTGTCCTTGAGATGTCGGCCGCAGCCGGGCCCCTGCGTCGCATGCCCGCCGAGTCAAAACGCCGCTTTGACCGACCCCGACCGACCCCAACCGACCCCCGAACCGCCGCAGGTGCACTTCATCACCGCGTCCTGCGAAAACATGGTATCCGGCCGCGCCACGCGGCCGGGGGACGTGCACCTGTCGGCCGCAGGTTTGACCGTGGAAGTCAACGACACAGATGCAGAGGGCCGCCTGACGCTGGCAGACGCGATCTGGTACGCGCAAGAGCAGGCCGGTGCCAAGGTGGGTCCACGATCTAGGGTCGAGGGCCCCTCAGCCCTAAGCCAGGTTTAGCTGGCCTAGGGCCGAGCTGGAGCCGGGGCATCCTTGGGGTCGCTGCTTGGGCGCACGCAATGCCAGCTGCGGGGTGCGAGAGGCTGCTGGTTCAAGGGGTGGTTATCGGCGTCGTGTGTCAGTGCGATATGGCTATGAGGTTCACGTGCGCCGCAGGCCAAATCTGGGGCCGGCCAGTTCATAGCGATCTGATGGGGGGAAGGAGCGGATGGCGCTTGCCAATGCAACGCGGCGCAGCCGCGCCGAGGAGGGGTGGGCCGGGGACATAGGGCAGGTTGTTTTCGACCCGGGCCTGGTTGACAAAAGTGGGCTGGCGTCCATTGAGGGGAACGTCGGCGCTGTCGCACAGGCGTGTGCTTGGTCCTGGATGCAATTACAGCCCTCTGGGAACGACACGCACAATGTCCGAGCTGGTATGGGATTGCTGCAGACACACACACACACACACACACACACACACACACACACACACACACACACACACACACACACA